CTGGAAGGCATTAAATTCAGCATGACACCTACTTACCCATGCTTAATGAACACAAGAGCCAAGTTACGGAATCAGCTTAGTCACTTACCAGCAGATGAATGGTTAAAGAAAGCTGGGCAGTGGTGTCACGCACCTTCACTCCCAGCATTCAGGAGGCAGAAACGGGAGGATCTCTCTGAGTTCGAGGATTGCCAGGCATACACAGTAGAACGTTATTTGGTCATAAGGAATAAAATTGTGCGGGAGATCATGATGCTATGTGCAACGAGACAGACTCAAAGGCAAATGCTATATCTTATCTTAGCTCTGATCTCAATTTTAAAAAAGATCACCCACCCTATCCCCCTTGGTGTGGGGCACATGACTTCAATATGAGAAGCAGGAGGAACATTGAACCTACAGTCTGCTTTACATAGAGTTCCAGGTAAATTAGGACTACATAACGAGACCCTATCAAAAAAGAGTAAAACATAACAAAAGAAACCATGAAAGTAAAAGGCAGACTATTTAGGAAGGAGCCCACAGAAAAGGTGGAGGAACAACAGAACATAATAAGGGACGAATATAATTAAAGTACATTATATGCATGTATGCAAATACAGTGAAATCCATTATTTTGTACAAATAATATCACTAATATTTTTTGTGTTGGGGGTCTCATGCAAACCAGGCTGGCCTTGAACTATGCAGTTTAGAATGAACTTAAACGTCTGATCTTCCTGCCTTCATCCATTTCCTGAGTGCTAGGATTAAAGGCCCCAACTACCATTTGTTTTGTTTTTTGAGATGGGGTCTCACCCTGTAGCCCACCTTGAGCTCATGGCAGCCTATCTGCTTCTGCCTCAAGAGTGCTAAGTCAACAGGCATGAGCCATTAAAAATAAAGACAATAAGCCAGGCACTGTGAATCAGAGGTTAGCCTGCGCTACAAAGCAAGTCCAGGACACCCAAAGCTACACAGAGAAACCCTGTCTCGAAAACCAAAGCTAAATAAAAAATACAACAAATAAATGTTACTAATAAATATAACTTAAAAAACAAGAACCCCACATGCCAGTGAGATGGCTCAGTGGGGAAAAGTATTTGTGGCTTGTCAAGCAAGCCTGCCAGCTCAGGTATGAACCAGCCCAGGGCAGGAAAGAGACTCATAGATGTTATTCTCTGACCTCCACACTCTGGTAGGTCTGCGCTTACACCCCTCAGCGCCTCCATGCCTAATTCAAAAGTCAGACCTTCGATCCAAGTTATCTCTTTCCAGACACAACTATCATAGCTTTTATGTGCTCACATAACACCCTGGCCTTTTGAAAAGGGTGTGTGATCCACTAATGTGAGGCAAGGGCGGGGCTATCCCTGGATTTGTCTTTTGGAGCAAATGGCATACTGGGTCCCCCATTTTCCCTCCCTCTCTCCTCCTCTGCTTAAAGGGCACCTTTCTTCTGTCCTTTACAACTTCCCACACTACCTGAAAATGTTTAAATTACAATTTTACTTTGTTTGAGGGGATGGTACACATATACTATGTTACACATGAGGTCATAGGTCAACTCATGGGAGCTGACTCCCTCCTTCCACATGAGATTGAATTTAGACCAATAGACTCGGCAGCAAGTGCCTTTAGCAGCTGAGATAGCCTGGCGCTCAGCTCTCTGATGTTCAAATGTGCATCAGGTCTGGTTGCCAAACACAGATATTGCCAATGTGTAAGTAAAGAGCCACTCACACAAGGTACGCACTAATAAAAATTTAATATCATAAAACAAATCGGAAAACAGCGTTTTTTTAAACCATTCACAATTAAAGTGGAAAGAGACAAAATTATAAGGCAGCCATCCATGGAATGAGTTTTATTTGTACAAAGGATCCAGAAAAAGGGACAATTAAAATCACCGTTCAGGCCACCAAACTGGGGGAACTGTGGTGTTACCCTCCCCCATTAGACTCCCCAGCTTACAGGAAGACACCAGACAGGGAGCGGATCCAGGCTCCGTGGTTAGGTCCCGTGTCGGACCGAGCACACCTAAAGCAGCACTGCAACCTGGCTGCCAGGCCTTTCCCACCAGACACGCACCTTCCGGTCTCCTGAGCTGAACTGTGAAGTCTTAAGTACAAAAGGTTGCAGTTTAATATCTCCACCAGCGTTTTTTAGGGGTGGGGCTTGCTCTGTACTGAGCAGAAGTCTGCCACGAACAATCTTGCAGAGTGACTATCCGGTGCTGCAGCTGTCTGGGGCTCTGGGCAAGGACAGGCAGGAGCATTTTAGAGGTTTGTGCTATTGAGAGACAGTGCCCGTGTTTAGAACTTCACTAGCATGAGGGCCAGGCCTTGCCACACTGCCGATGGTGCGCTTCTCCTAGTGTAATCCTTGGAAAAGAGAACCAGCCAGTGACAGACTGGCTTACAAACAAACATTTTTTCCCTTTCTATAAGAACAGCCCCTCCCTTTCTTCTCTGTAAGGATCCAAACCCCCAGAGCAGGCTGACTTGGCTGTTTTGAGTAAGCGAGTAAGGTGAAATACGGGAGAACACACGGCCTCAGTGGGTGGTACTGTTCCACCTGCTAGCATTCCAGGCCAGGGTGTCTGCCTGGAATGATGCAAGCTGGCAACAGCACACAGAGGAAAGCAGAATCAGGTGGCAACATGGCTGCCCTGCTGACATAGGGACAGCACTGGGAACTGGCGTGGGTAGAATCTGAAGAGCACGTAGTTTCCCGGGGAGAGACTCCAACTGCAGTTAAGACTGCTTTGGCCATGAGGACGGATGGCCCGTGCTTTTCCTTAATTAATTCTTTGGTAGCCCATAATTCCACTTGTAATTGTGGCAGCAGCTGAAGTATCATCAATGTGTCCAAATGTGTTTGCGTATTAAGGCCTCCACCTCCAGAGGGACTTTTAAGGAGGAAAACAACTGAAATGTGTTGTGAAGCGGACATCAAGGTAGCTGCCCTGCGAGCACTGGCAGCGCACGCGCGACCTCTCTGCACGTTCCCGCTGCCTGGAAGGCAGTTGAGCCCTATTAAGATTCATATGGCTATGTGAGCCTGCCAACCAGGGAAGGGATGAGCGGTCCCCAGGCAGCAGCTCCGGGCCTGAAAGAGGCCCCAGCTTCAGAAAGCTCATTACTACTGAGGCCCAGTGGGGAAGGCAAATTTGGAACTTTGATGATTCAGTCCTTGCCAGAGTCCAAGGCCCTACCCAGCAAGATATTCTAACCAAATTTATAAGCAAGATGGCAAGGCACTGCTGAATGAAAGAGGCTCTGGCCAGCTCAACAAATCTCTGACCACTGGACGTAGAGGGATGACAGGAGTTCCTTCTAGTCAAACCAAACCAGACACAGAATGGGCATTTACTTGACACAGTAAGGTTCTAGAAAGAATCAAGACATTCATATTTTGGAAGGACTGGATGAGACCAAACCTTTCCGAGTCACCTGTTTGTGCCTAATCGTAAGAGTTACCCACACTCACACACTGCACCCCTTAACGCGTTAGCATGGGATGCAATGGCTACCAGCCTCCATGCAAAACTGCACCCCACTTCTGCTTTCTTCACTGCAGCCAGCAGGGGGCTCACAAGTTTAATTCCACAGCTGCTGACCCAGTGACAACTTAGGAGAGAAATTAAGGAAAACCACAGGCATGCTGGCATAGGTATCGCAGAAAAATACAGATGACTGTACCCACTGCTCTGAAGAAACTAGTCTCGGCTCGTCTTTATGTAAAGTGTTTTGAAATGCTACAGAAAATATAAATTAATTCGGCGTTATACACTTATCTGACTAAATAGGATTTAAACAGATTTTGGCAAACATGGAAAAATTACCTTGTTGAATACTTTTGCTATCTCAACTGCCAAAATTATCAGAGTATTAGTGATTGTGTCAACTCACATGAGGAGGTGACATTTCTGAGGGTGTAATACAGTTGTATTTGAAGAAAATGAACAGCGACAGTGTTGTCTTCATCATCGCGGTTCAAGATGAGAAGAGATTGGCTTCACACACGCACTGACATCACCGGGAGCACTAAGCAGCACACGGGGGTGGGGTGCAGCGGGGAGAGGAGCACTGGAAGAGTGGGATGCCGACAGGACTGCAAAGAGCGCGAGGCCAGCAGCAGACACCGCCTTCTGATACGGCCCTCCTTTCCTCTGCACAGGAGCTACTGAGCAGACAGGAACATTCTCCACTCTGGACAAGGGCTTAGCCAGGGGGACTGCTGGCTGCTAAAAGAAATACTTAAGACAGCAGTTCTCAACCCGTGAGTCACGACCCCCATAGGGGTCGGAGACCACATATCCCATTATCAAGATATTTACATTACAATTCATAACAGTAGCAAAACTACACTTATAAAGTAGCAACAAAATAAGTTTATGGTTGGGGGTCACCACAACATGAAGGACTGTATTAAAGGGTCACAGCTTTTGGAAGGTTGAGAACCACTGGACTTAGAAGACAAGGATAACATACTTTATAATAGTGTTACTTTAAAAAAGGTTACTACAGAGATGTAAGTAACTATCCAAATTCCTGGAAATTTTCACATCTCTTAATTTCACTGTAATCACACTGTTCTTGAACTGTGCCTGAACAGAATCTGGCTAAGAATGTGCTGCAGGCAAATGTTCTGCAAAGGGTACTTCTAAAAAGAAAGAAAGCTATCTGATACCAGGCCCCTCTTCAAAGGCTAGTCCCACCTCCACTGCTCCACTGGAAGGAGGGGCAGGCTCTGTACAGGGAGGCACGTGCAAAGGAGCTATTGAAGACTCTAGACACTCCTTTTGATGAATCTCTCTTTCGGGTACAGGTCAGTTTGTGTCTCCTACCCTTATTTTCCTTACTCTAACCTCAAATTAGTTGCCATCACCTTTAGCATCTAAGGGGTGGGGTGTTGCCACCTTCTCTCAAGGCGTGTGGCACAGATACTAAAGCACCAGTCTTACATGGTGAGAACCATGTTAAAAACCAATGGGTAAAGTGGCAGAGCCTCTAAACTTAGGGAAAAAACTTTAGTTTAATTACAGAACACTGTATTTTCATAATTACCATTTCATTGTATGAAGTTCTCCACTTTTCTTTAAAACTAAATTCCATCTTCCCTGAGAATAGGGTTAAGAGAAACATCAAAACTCAGCTTGTCACAGTCCCTTTAGAAGACAACACAAAGTCTCTGATTACAAAGTTCCTGCTGTACACCAGTCCACTTTTCCACGACTGACTCTCATCTCCCTCGGACTGTAGGAACACGGGTGGAGATGGGCAAGGTCAGACAAGACACTGAGGAAGCGAGGAGCGCCACGCGCTAGCTCTTCTTCCTGGATGGCAATGGCCGGAGCTGAGGCTGGGCCCTCAGCGATTAATGCTGGTGTCCTATCGATAGGATGAGTGGTGTGAGACAACCCAGAACCAGGGCTGCCACCTCAAGGCGGCTGAGGCCTCGCCCTCCAGTGCTGTCAGGTCTGTGGCTGTGCCCCATTCCACCCACCTCAGGGAGGACATGGACGGTGGCAACATAAAGAAATGTCCCGGCAGAGAAAAGCATGGCCACTCCAGTGGCATTGACCTCTGACAGGGCTTCTTTACTGCTCTGTGAAGTAGAAGAGATTAGAATTAGAATTAAAACAAGTCACATCAAAGTCAGAGACAAGAAGCTGCCCCAACTAAATCTGAATATTTATACCTGGTACTGCTGACATCTTCAGGCTGGAAATTCTCTCATTTATGGGGAGGTTTTAAATAAAGGTCTAAGAATCTTAGTGACACATACAATCACAGCTTAAAAATGTGAAACTCACAATGTTTAGTATACAGATACTGTGATCTGAGAAAACAATGAGATAATCAAACTAATTAACATTTTATTACTTCAAATGGGTAATGATTTTGCAGGGAGAACATTCTAAATTTGCCCTTTTGCAATGAACATTCTACCTATAGCTGCTTTTCACAGCAGCATTCAAGCACTGGCTAGGAAGTTTCACTTGAGTCTTTGAACACGTATCCTCTGTGTTACCAGGCCAGGTGCTTGAGACACAAACTAATCAAGATGCAAAAGAGGCAGGTGGATCTCTGAGTTTAAGGCCAGCCTGTCTACATTGTGAATTCCAGGACAGTCAGGGCTACCCAGAGAGACCATGTTTTAAAAACAAAAACAAAACAAAACAAATCCAATAGCCGTACTAATAACAGCACTAAAATAGATTTCCCTCACTGATCTGGGTTTTGTTGGTTTTGATTATTTAAGAGAGTGAAGGGATGGCATCATAATTTAAAAGGAACTATCAGGGCAGGGAGGTGACAGCATGTGTCAGGCTCTGGGCTTAATCCTCAGTATCCAAGATAGGTGTGTGTATGGATAACCTATAAAGAACTGCCCACTACCCTTAAGGTCCTCCAGGTGAATGGGAAGGCCCCGTCTAAGAACTCACTTGTTAGACTCAAGACCAACAATCAATAGACCCTGGTTAACAGAATCTAACTACTCACTGACCATCTCATTTTCCATATATGCTTTCTTAAATCCTTCCATTTTCTTCCTTTTTATTTATTTTTTAAATGAAAAAACGAACAGGAAAAGAAAGGAGGAAGAAGGAAAAAGAGGTTGGAGATATAGTTCTTTGGTAGAGTGCTTGGCATGTGTGAGGCCCTGGGTTCACTCCCACCAACCAGCCAACCAACAGAAAACCAGAAGAGTCTGTATTTCTTTTAACATATTTATTGTTTCATATAATGATGGATCAATGAGGGTAAGGAGGAAAGCAGTTCCTACCAACCAGCACTGGTTAGTTAGGTTTTCCCCATATATTCTACTCACTGGCTTTTAGGTAAACTAGGAAGGGTTGTTGCTATAGAGAGATTTATAAGGCTTGGAAATGTAGTATGTGGGCTTTAAATTGCAGACTGATATCTCAAGTCTGAAGCTATATTTAGGGATAAAAAAGTAGAACTGGACTCCCAGCTGCCTACAGCCATCTTTGCTCCAGCTCTACTCTCCTGCAGGCCACTAAATGACTTGTCTTGTATGCTTCCTGTGGCTGCTTCAGCATTAAATGTTGGACAGTGAGGCTGGAGAGATGGTTCAGTGATTAACAGCAACCATATGGCAGCTCAAAACTGTCTGTAACTCCAGTCCAGGGAACCTAACATCATCACACAGACATACAGGCAAAACAGTAATAATACACTAATAAAATACCAATAATGGTTCTGACTTTATCTGCCAAACAAAATAAGCATGGCTGGTTAGACTCTTACTCTCAATTTTTATCTTAGTTTGGAAAAATACTGTATGTGAAAAATTCAACCTAAGATACCCTATCAGGTTTGTTGAGCCTTTGGGTACTGTGACATACCGTCCCACAATCTACAATATTTATGTTAGACGATAATTTAAAAGCTGTATCATGTTTCAGTAAGTTTCTGATTTTGTGTTAGGTCACATTCATAGCTCTCAGCTCCATGCAGCTCACAGGCTGCAGGCTGAGCACCTATGAGAGGAACTAGACACATGACTATGTAGCAAGAGATGCCCACACTTACCTTACTTAATCCTAAGTATGTCAGCATGGACATGGCTGGTGCTGCCAATGCAAATACCAGCAAATGCTTTCTAATTCGATTCCGCTCCAGGCCAGCATGCATCAGGAAGGAAACCAGCCCAAAAGCTGCTGGAGCCTGGAAATGACAAAGTAGCTCTTATTATGACTGGATGAGCAGGGCTTGTTTCCACATCAAGAAATGCATGTGATGGTATCTGAATGTGAACTCTTACAACAGAAACTTAGGTATCCCATCAAGGACAAGCTTGCTTTTTAGGAATCAGTGTTCTCATCAGGAAAACCCTGCATGTGTGTAAATACTATACATGCTGTACACACACGCACACCATACACAAAATTTTTTGAATTTTTAAATTTTTATTTATTAGTATTGTGCGTGTGAATGTTGCCACCTGTGTGCCACTGTGGGTGTGGTGGTCAGAGGACAACTTTTGGGAACTTGCTTGCAAGTACTTTTACCCACTGAGCCATCTAGTCAGCTATGTGAACAAAATTCTATAAAAAATAGAAACTGAGGACTGGAGAGATGGCTGAGTGGTTAAGAGCACTGGCTGCTCTTCCAGAGGACCTGAGTTCACCAGCACCCCCATGGTGGCTCACGACCATCTATAATAGGATCCTGCTCCCCTTCTGGCATGCAGGAGTACATGCAGACAGAGCACTCATATCATAAATTGCAGGGAGGCAGCGGCAGGCAGATCGCTGAAGTTTTAAGGCCAGCCTGGTCTACAAAGTGAGTTTAGGACAGCCAGGACTACACAGAGAAACCCTGTCTTGAAAAACAAACAAAAAATTAATAAGATTTTAGTCACTTGTGAACATGATACACAAATTTTATAAAGCCTTTAAAATAAGTTTAAGAAAATAACAAAAACTTAGCAATGAACATATTTAATTCTCCTAAATGGATAGCAACTAAAAAGTAAAAAAAAAAAAAAAAAAAAAAAAAGGGTGGGATGGGGCTATCAAGATGTCTCAGTGGGTCAAGGTGCTTGCTGTGTAAGCCTTGAGACCTGAGTTCAAACCCCAAGAACCAGGGTAAAAGGAGGGAACCAATTTCACAAAGTTGCTCTGACCTCATCATGCTAAGTAGTATGTGTGCCCATGTGTACACACATATAAATAAACATATTTTTAAGCTAAAAGAAAAATCACATTTTAGAAATGCATCAATGATCAAGACAAATTTTAAACACAAATATGTGCACTATCCAATCTTGGCTTACCTTGTGTAGCATTATTGCCACGAACACAATTAACTGGACACTAGTCTGTGAAGTAGAAGCTGCTGCTCCCAAAGCTACTCCATCCGCTGAATTTGGAGACAAGAAAACAAGATGCTATAAAAGGTGGTGGCTGCAGGGCTGAGTGCATGGGCTTCAAAGCCAGGCAGAGCTGGGCTTGGTTCTGGGGAAGTCACTCAACCTCGATGACATCAGTAAGCGGGGTGATGGAGACAAACCCCTTTAATTCTAGCACTCAGGAGGCAGGGGCAGGCAGATCTCTGAGTTTGAGGCCAGCCTGGTCTCCATAGTGAGTTCCAGGACAGCCAGGGGCTGTAAAACCAAGAAAAAACAAACAAAAATGCTGGGGTCAACAAAACATACATTTTTAGGGCTTCATGAGTGATGAAAATGAAAAAAAGAAAAACCATATGCAAAGAGCTTAGAATCTGAGTAGTCCACATGTTAGCAGTTTTTATTGTTGAAAATGTATGAAATCAACATCCCCCAATGGGTCAAGTTGTAATAATAGCAGTGCTAAGGAAGAACTTCAAAGGTGGCATCTTTCTGTCTTTAAGGCTGGAGGCCTCAATACAGATGATCCACACACGACGGGGACTATCTTAGCTTGGGTCACTATTGTTGTGATGAAACACCATGACCAAAGTAATCTGGGGAAGAAAGAGTTTATGTGGCTTACAGCTCCATGACACAGTTCATCAAAAGCAGTAAAGGCAGAAACCTGGAGGCAGGAGCTGAGGCACAGGCCTTGGATGGTGCTGCTTCCTGGCTTGTTCCTCATGGCTGGCTTAGCTTGCTTTCTTCTAAAACCCAGGACCACCAGTCCAGGGTTGGTATCACCCACAATGGGCTGGGCCCTCCCCCATCAATCACTAGCTAAGAAATGTCCTAAGATGAATCTTATAGAGACACTTTCTCAGTTGAGGATCCCTCCTTTCAGATGACTCTAGTTTGTGTCAAGTTGACATAAAATTTGTCAGGACAGGGACTTTGGCTGAATGGGTGTGTTGGAACACTGTCCAGAAATGGAGTCCTGTTAGGAGAATTCTGAGTGTTTGTGAAAACACTCCAAGAAAACAAACGAGGTCTTGTGACCTCAGTTTCTTCGAAACATACACTTGTTCTGGGAATGTCCACACGTTCTTCCCAGGTCTATGGATAGGAGCGAGTTTACTTCAAATTGCTCATTCTTGCTTGTTGTTGTTATTCAATTAAATGTTTTCCTTTATATGTCTCTATGACATGTTTTTGCCATGTGTGGCTCGTCCTTGTGGTTGAATAGAGCCTGAACTCGTGAGACCTTTACTCGTGTGATCTTTCTTAACCCTCGAGTATACACTGTCTGGGGCTCTGCATGAAGCTGACTATTGTGTAAGACTTTAGTCCGCCTCATTTATTTGCTCCATTCTCCCAGGCCCCCACCACTTCGACAGTGGTGATGAGGGTGAGTCTTGTTAGAAAGCAGAAAACAGCAGACTAGAAGTGTACTACTTTTCACAAATGTATTTGGTCCTGACAGAATGCTAGCGTCAGGTCTAGGTTTGGGTTATGGTGCTGAAGTGAGGCTCCTTAGCCCCGCTGCTGGGTCTTCTGCCTACTGCCTACTGCAGCAAGGCTGTGTGGTATTGACATGCAGAGGCTCTTTCCCAGACAGATCTTAGGGAAGAGGTCAGCAAACTTTTTAAAGCCCAGACAGGACATATTTGAGCTTTATGGGTTAATTGGCCTCTTGTAACTAGTCAACTCTGTCACTACTTTATAGAACAAGGCACAGGTAATATATAACCATGTGGCACAGCTGCCTTCCAAAATAGCATTATCACTCTAAATATAATTTTCCAGTGACAGGAAATATATTTCTGTTTGGTGCTGCTGAGGACTTAACATAGGCCTTTCACACACGCAACCGATGCTTTATAAGCTACAGCAACAGGCTCTTTTGGACAGAGTCTGGATATGTAGCTCAGGCTAACCTTAAACTCATTAAGTAGTTCAAGTTGGTCTCGAACTCTGGATACTATTGCCTCCACTCCTGGGTGCTTATATTACAGGCATGTGTTACTATGCCTCACTTACACTTTGTGTTTAGGTATTAAAAATGCAGAAAACATTCTTAGCTTGTAAATTCAATACAGGACATGCCAGGGCTGTGCTCAAGCTACAGGGCTGTGCTCAGCAACCCTCCCCCAAGAGCATTCAGTGTGGAGTCTTCTCTGTGAGGTGGGGTAGGCTTGCTGCAATCCTGACTTACCTGCGGCATGGACAACCAGCCCCAGCGTGGTGGTGATTTTGGAACTGCTAGGCCTTGCTGTTTCTGGATCTACACGAGAATGAGAGAGGACCACTAAGTAGTGTGACAGAAAGTTCTAGGACACAAGTCTACATAGAGAAACCCTGTGTCTAGAGCTGGAGTCTTGCTGTGCACTCCTGGTTGGCCTTGAACTCAAAATCAGCCTCGCCTTCCTGAGTAATGGGATTAAGGGTGTATGTGTACAACATTACACCCAGCTATGAGTACTTTGAAAGCTCAATCTTGAACTCTGATGTAGATTGTTTTCCTCACTACTGCCTTTTCTCTCTACTTCAAATTCTTGGACGTTCTCCTTGTGCTAAAGAGGCGGGTGTGAGAAAAACTCTTCCCTGGATAGGCTCCAGGGATGAATAACCCCACTGCCGGCCCGCCCTCGGTCTGCAGAAAGTGCACCATGGCCCCTAGGTACTTCTTTCCAGGCTCACCTACCTCCTGCAGCTCTGTTCTCATTCCAACATTTGTCCTATTTTCCCCTCTCCGCTTTGCAGCTACCACCCAATATGCATTTTCACCAATTTATACCCAAGTCACAACAGTTCGCCACTGCTTTTCTTCCTTTGCCTGAACTCACCTTAGCCAGAAATGTCAGAAGCATCTTTAAAACAGTACCTTCTGCTGCATCTTTTAAGTAGCTCAGGTCAGCTGCAACTATACTGTTGGGTAGGATTTTTCGTTTAGGAGCATTGAACCCAAGCCTTGTCCATGCATTTGAAGCACTCTTCCACTGAATTACAACCCCTAGTTTCTTTCTTACTTTTTTTCCCCCCTTAATTCTGAGACAGAGTTTCACTAAGTAACAGTCTGGCCATGAACTCACTCTGAAGACCATGCAGATCTTGGATTTGTGGCTTCCCTGCCTCAGCCTGGGGAGCTGGAATTACAGGCCCACAGCACCACACCTGACCTGAGGAAGGTTCTTAAGCTTTGTATCAGATGGTTCTCAGTGTTTCTCAGCTTTTAGACCAGTTAACCCGGTTTTTCTAGTACCTTCTAACATCATTACCCTCCTTTCCCCAAATCTCTCACCTCTAGTTCTTGGTTAAGTATTAAACTTCCCACATCATAAACACTGTTCCAAGTCGAATCCTAGGACCATAGTCATCAAGAAAGGATCGGAGAATGACCCAAGCTCCAAACAACTGTCCCCTGGCTCAACTAACATTCTGTGTAGCTGGCACCCATATGCCACTTCAAGGGTTCTGTATTTTTTTTTTAAACACATCTCACAGAATGTGCTGCAGCACTATGCACCCAATATCGCCTTTTAAGTTCTCTTGCTGGAGATTTCACCGCTTTTATAGGAAACAAGGGTGGGGGTTGAAGCAGGGTACAAAGTTCCACCCATTGCTAAGGAGCTACTGGCATTTGGTAGCTGCTGGGAGAAAAAGAGTCACACTTTCTGTAAGGGTGTGATCCCTAGTCAGCCACTACTCTCCAGGGCAGCCCACACCCCACACACAACAGTACTGAGCAACACAAGTTAGGCTCCACGAAGGCGTGCAGGAGGGAGAGAGAGCAGAGAAGGAGGAGGACGGAGAATGAACAAAGGTGGTGGGGAAGATGGGGTACTCTGGGAGAAGTATGTGTGTGTGGATGATAAAAATCATCAAAATACACTAAATGAAATGTCAAAAAGTAATAAAATATTTCAAACATTAGGGGTTTTAAACATAGTATTTTGGGGGCCAAAGATTTCTCAGCAGTTAAGAGCCCCTATGGCTCTTGCAGAGGGCCCAATGAGGCTCTATTCCCAGTACTCACATCTGGCTGCTCACAACCACCAGTGACCTGCTCCAGCAGGCTCCAACACCTGAGGCTCCAGGTGGGTACCTTTGTATGCAGACACACAGACACTGACTCACACACACAAACCATGCTATTCTCTTTTTTAAATTAAGATTTATTATTTATACAGTATTCTGCCTGCACGTACACCTGCAGGCCAGAAGAAGGCACCAGCTCTCATTATAGATGGTTGTGAGCCCCCATGTGGTTGCTGTGAATTGAACTCAGGACCTTTGGAAGAACAGCCAGTGCTCTTAACCACTGAGCCATCTCTCCAGCCCCAAAACACATTATTCTTATATGTTTATAATTTTTATATATTATAGCATATTTTTTCAAATGAAGTGTTTGAGGCCCACCTGAGCTACATAAAGAGATTTTGTCTCCAAAAAAACTAAACTAAAACTTAAAAACAAAAACAAAAAAAGAAAAAAAAATACACAGAAAAGGCCAGCAAAAACAGTGGTTGAGGGAGAAAACAGAAGGAGAAATGATCACATGCTACATTTTATTCTGGGTATAGGTACAGGGCACTATTGGTTCTATATAATTTATTAAGAAATATTTTGGGGGAGGGTAGTTATAGAGCGATAGCTCAGCAGTTAAGAGCAATGGCTGCTCTTCCAGAGAACCTGGGTTCAATTCTGAGCATCAATGTCTGTAACTCAACTACTCATATAAAATACAAATAAATAAATGTAATTTTTAAAAATTGTTTTTTCAGTGTTGACAATCAAGTCCAGGTCTCACATGTTCCAGGCAAGCACTGTGTCAATGAGCTGTATCTCCTGTGCCCTACTTTAAAAGTCCCAAACATTACAGCACAGACTGGTGACTAACTCTGGCTAACTGAAGCCCATGTTAAATATTCCAAGGAAGTCTATGTTGAGGTCTTTCCTTAATAATTCTCTACCTTGCTTTGTTTTGTTGAGACGGGGTCTTTCACTGACCCTTTCACTGACGCAACAAGGCTGGCTGGCCAAGAAATGAATGTTTTAGGGACCTTCTTGACTCCCTGCCCCCAGGATTGAGTTGATAGACAGCATGTCTGGCTTTTTACTTGGATACTAGGGCTCCAACTCCCCAGCCCTGGCAAAAACAAAACAAAACAAATAACACAACAAAAAAGCTTTGGGGTTTATTTGTTTGTTTTAAGACAGAGTCTCACTATGTAATCCTGGTTGGTCTAACACTCTCTATGTAGGCCAGACTGGCTTTGAACTCACAGAGGATCAGCCTACCTCTGCCTCCCAAGCGCTGAGGTTGAAGGTGTGCTCCACCAGGATGGGGAAAATGTTTTAAGGTGTACTTATGGACACAGTGGCACATTCAGCACTTGGGAGGTGGTGGAGGGAGGAGGATCAGTAATTCAAGGTCATCAGTGTCCACATAAAGAATCTAAGGCCAACCTGGGATATATGAGACTATCTCAACAAAGTGGGGAAGTAAAATAAAGACAGCAAATGTAAGGAAACGGAAAGCCTTTGTTGATATCAAGAGTTTTGTTTTTGACAGTATGTCATGTGTCGGTATGTAGCCAAGGCTGGTCTCTACTGAACTCACCAGCTCCAGCCTGTGCCCCCCGAAGAGCCCTGATCATATGCCCCCACCCCTGCCTATCAACCCTGCTTTCCTTTTGCTTAGTCCCATGTTTTTTTTCTTCTTAATGTTTGGAATTGAAGCTTTGCATTTCAAACCATGCCATGTTCAAGCACAGAGCTACATCCTCAGCTTTGTTCATTTATTCATTGCATGATTAAAACAAAACCAAACAACTTTTATTTGGAATAATGTTTAACCTTGAGAAAAGCTGCAATAGTTTAAAGAATCCCTATCTCCACCTGACCAACCATTTAAACATTTTGAACCATTTGCTTCACTTTCTATACACAAATCTTTACCACTTAAGAATCAGCTGTACACATCGGAACTGCTTATCTTTAGGTACTTCAATGTGTATTTCCTTAGGGAAAACATGTAATCATAAAGGGTATCAACTTCAGAAAATTTAACATTAATTCTGATTTCTGTTGCATATTCAAATTGTGTCAATTTTCTGATAATGCTCATTTTCCTTTCTAGGAAGGATCAATTCTAGGCTCACACACTGCACTCATCTGAGAGTGACATTTTTGGCAAATACATTCACCTCCTTGCATCCTTCATTTTTTTGTTTGTTGTTGTTGTTTGTTTGCTTGCTTGCTTTCTGAGAAGACTGCCTCAGCTGATCCCAGGTGCTTTTCATGTTGGGTCATATACCAGACACTGTTAGTAATACTAGCTCATGGATACTCTGGGTTCTTGTTGCAGGATATTTGATCCCATTATGAACCCTGACATTCTGTTACAGGAAAACCTGTTTCTAGTTGTGGAATGGCTCAGCCCCAGCACACATTTTTAATCCAAGAACTTTCTGTTTACTGTAAACAGGTGACCATGGTGTGGATCAGCCCTAGCACACACCTTTAATCCAAGAGCCTTTCCGCACACCGGATTAAATAAAGTCAATCCTAGGTCAGAGGCAGAGCAACCAGCTGACAGGGATTAAATAGAAAGGAGGGACACTGAGAGAAGAGCATTCACAACACTGAGAAGAAGAAACGGCTTTTGGCTCTTTCCTTCTGGGACATCAGCTGAGTAGGAAGGTCAGCTGGATGTTTTCTCTGCCTCTCTGAGCTAGCAGGTTTTTACTCCAGCATCTGCTTCCTGAGTCTTCATTGGTAAAATCAAACAATGACACAACAGGTTCTGTTATACTTTTATACAGAATTTATGTCTTCCTTTAAGTAAAACTGTAAACTATTTATGTTCAAACTATAAACTATTTTTTTGAACAGCTCAGTTTAATTGTTTTAGTTTAATTGCCTTAAAAAGCCAGAGATCTAAACAGCTTACTCAGAGAAACTGGGGCTGAGTTCTAGTGTAAGTTCTAGTTAAGTTCTAGTTAAGGTCTGCAGACCTTAACATAACTGATGCCCGTTTAGGCCGTGGAAGCCAGCACATAGGTAGCACCACCTGCCAAACGAGAACAACCCCTAATCTACCATAGTCCATCGTTCTGGGGAGTCCTTAACTGGATTAAGCTTGCTTTTTGGTTTCTACAGTTCTGATTCTGGCTAACTGTTCTAGCTAACTGAGGTGTGTCAACCCAGGATGTGGTTTTGTGCTTAAAGCTCACTCTGAAAAAGGCTCAGGGCTATCCTGGTGTCCCAAACAGCCAGTGTGATCACCCACTGGCCAGTAACAACTTTCTATTGGCTTAAACCAAGACCCACCCCATGGGAGAGAGCCAACCCCTGACACTATTGTCGATACCCTGCTTGCAGATGGGAGTCTAACATAACTACCCTTTGAGATGATCCACCCAGCAGCAGCCCTTCTCTTTAGGGCTCTGGTGTCCTGAGTTCTGTGCTGCAAACAACTGGGGACCTTCTGAGACAAGGTCTCACGTAGTCCAGGCTGACTTCAAACTTCCTATGTAGTTGAGTCCTTCTGACCTCACCTCCCAAGTACTAGGACTACAGACAAGTAATAACACTTGGGAAGACAAAGTTTCTGCCACAATTTTAGTTGCCCCCAAGGATGCTGACTTCTAACCCTGTAAAAATAGGTATCTCTGTTCCAAATATTGATACTCTGCAGACTGTACTTGCTCTCGGTGACTCTCTGCTGTCTTCAGATGGCAATTTTTAAAAATCTGAACAAGGTTTAGAGTTATCTGAAAAGGGGCTGGTCCGATGGCTTCCTGAGCTACACCAAAAGCAAAATGTCTGTGACATTGATTTTGATCACCTACTCAAAGCACTGCTGGACTCTTTAATTTACTTCTTTCCTTTGTGTATCTAATAAGCAGATCAGAAAGTAATATCAAGTTTATTTTTGCTTGCTTGCTTGGTCCGTTGGTTGGTTTGGGGTTTTTGCTTGTGGCTGACTAGCTTTTAGACAGTGCCTCCCTGTGTATCCCCCTGGCCGGTCTAAAGCTCAATATGGAGACTAGGCTAGCATATGTCCTAAGTTTATATAAAGATCAATGTTCCAATCATCGGGCTACAGGCTGCAGGCTGCCTAAAGGCTCCAGAGCACAACACAGGCTACTTATGCCCTAGAGGCTCACTCAAGTGTGACCAGTTTAAGCCCAGCGGGGTTAATATGTCAATAAACAGTTGCAGCATGCCACAACTCACCAGCTCCCCTAATTGAATAAAATGCCACATAGCACCTGAGGAGAACAAAGGAGTTTGGCATTTAAGTAAGGTCATTGGTATAGACCAAATCATTCAGTTGTTTATAAATTTCCAAACTGCAGAAATGCTTGAACAGCTGAAAAGTCAAAGGGCTACTCACCGTCAGTGGAATGCACATGGGAGCTGCCAATCTGGTCCACTAGCAACATGAAAACGAAGCCCAGTACAAGGGACACGCCAATGTACGCATGTAGCTGTGTATGATCATGGCTGTGCTCATGCTCATGGACAACTGGTATTTCTGCTGCTTTGTCTGATGCAATCACATTCTGCTTGGTTTCACTGGCTTGATGGTGTTTTCCTAGAGCAAGACAAACCACATAATGTAACAGCTTCCATCTGTATTTTAAGTGCCATTTAATTTACTGTAAGGACACCTAATTCCTATACTGTAATCTAGGCAACCATAAACTCTTTCAGTTTGAAAGGCTGTGATAAAAACATTCCCAAGATAAAAACATTCTGTTTTTGGCATGCAGACCTTCTGAGTGCCTATCAACTCAAAATCCTGGTCACAGAAGAAAATCACCATGCAAGAATGCAGTCACATTTCCAAGAGCCCCAAACCTAAATCTTCCTTTTTCATCTGAGAAGTTCATGCCAGTCTCCGCAGGAAAGCACATGAAGCTTCACACTGACGAAACCAGGTGAAGAAAGCACAGTGGCAATGAAAGCAAATGCAGCAATGTCACTACTTTTATACCTAGGTTGACACAAAATTCGCACATAAAAAGCAAACAGTATAGAAAACATTTAGCTTTTATAAAATATTAGTGAGTACCTTTCTCTCTCTCAAAATTAGCCAAAGGATATTCCTAATTTATATCACAGGTTTGATACTTCAAACACTGATGCTTACAGGCCAAAATTTTATATTTTTATTGAAAAATTTATACAATATATTTTGATTAAATTCTTTCCCCTCCTGCAACTCCTCCCAGGTCCTCTCCACTTCCCTACTCACCCAATTTTATATTCTTTCTCTCTAAGCAAAACAAAAACAAATAGACAAAAACAACAAAAATCAAAAATAATCAAAACATACAAACTAAAAAAAAAAAAAAAGAAAAATCAACAAAATAAAAAATATAAAAAAAATATCCAAACAAAACAAAAACACACAAAAATACACAAGGTCTGCTTTATGTTAGTAACTACTCCTGGGGGTTGGGTAGAGCCCTTGCCCCTAGGTTCTTTGCCTCAGGGTTCCTCTGTCCTCAGCTCTGAGAAAAACAAACAAACAAACAAAAAAGACAAAGTAACTAATCCGGGAGACAGGCGAGCCCAGGAGTGTGTCTGACACACCAGGTTTCCACCGGGGAAAGAAAACTTATTTTCCCTTTCCCAGCAGGTTACAACTGCAAACTTCTTGGTTAGAGGTGGGACTCTGTGTCCAGTACCCATCTCTGTGCTGGGACTGTGTCTGGTTTGGACCTCTACAGGTCCTATGTAGGCTGCCAAAGCCTCTGTGTGTTCACATGAGCACCAATCCTGTTGTGCCCAAAAGATATCGTTTCTCCTTCAAACTCTCACGCTCTTTCTGCCTCCTCTTCTGCAAAGATATCTGAGCCCAGAGGGGAGCTTTGATGAAGACATCCCGTTTAGAGCTGAGTGCTCTGAAGCCTCCCACTCTCTGTAATCGTCCAGTTGTGGGTGTCCTGTGTTAACTATTTGCTGCAAGAAGCTTCTCCGCTGAGGGTTCAGCCATGTTCTCCACTATGGGTATAGCAGTATCTAATTACAAGTCATTTGATTTACTATGTTCCTTTATCAGAATAGTAGTAGGTTCCCCCTAGGTCCATGACTTACTTAGTCTCAGGTTCTTGGCACTCTAGTAGTGTTGAATATAGGTTCCTTTTCTTGCAGTAGGTCTTAAATCCAATCAAAAACAGACCCCCATGGTAGAAGAAGAGAACAGACTCCCACAAACTGTCCCTGCACCATGGCATGTGTGTACCCACCTCCTCATACAAAACAATAAATAAATGTAATAAGAAATACGGATAAAGGAAGAGACCTGACACGAATGGGCTTCCATACTCCTGTGTACACACATTAACATGTACTTGAATGCATATAAACACATATATGTGCATGCATCACACACAAAAGATAACTGTTATGTTATAGGATATTTAAGTAATGTACATAGAAAACCTAATTGTTAGCATAATACAAGAGCCTAAATAGATATTGCAATTTTATGGTTCAGTGTGTCCTGAAGAGATGCAGTCTGAATGTGCCTCTAAAAACTTCCATAGATGAGAATTCTATGGAATGGAGAGTTACTATTTTAAGGCAAGTTCCTTGGGAGAGGTCTTGTGCTCTATGAACCGAGACCAGGTCAGCTGGGTGGCCTCAAGCTACCCACCATAAAGGTAAAATGGTTCGGCCCCTACTGACTTGGATTGCGGCCCCACCATTATAATGACATGGTTCAGCCTGCCAAGGTGTAGGGGAGGAGCTGGAGACTTCTTTTATAGGCAATTGGACCTCTGCTATAGCGCTCTCTTTTTTGGCTTGAAACAATCTTTTCAGAAGGAGCTCGAGTAAGAGATAGGGATCCTCTCTCTGGGCTTGCAGGAACAACACAGAAGCAGTTGGCAGGATACAGGCAAAACAGTTTCTAGAAAAGAGCTAAGGAGCCCTCTTTGGTCTGAAGGAGCTCAGGAGAAAGGTAGACTAGCTTGACAGAATGATGCATAGAAAAAGATTTCTAAAGAACGAGTAGTTTAGCTGTCGAGTCAAGCTTATACATAGAAACACTGTATATAGTTCAGAAAACAAAGTTACCTCACTGAGCTAGCAGGTTTTTATTTGTTTATGCCTCCTATACCTTTATTGGTATAAATATTAGATAATTTTCATTAATTAATTTACTTTACATCGATAGGAGCTTGTCCTTCCTCCTCTCATCCCAGTCCCCCTATGGCCCCTCCCTTTCTCCTTAGAGAAGGGGAGACCTCCCATGAACATCAACCTGCCTTGACATATCAAGTTGTAGTATGATTGGGCACATTTTCTTCTACTGAGGCTAAACAAAGCCATCCAGCTAGGGAAAAGGGATCCAAAGATAATTTAGACACTGTTACACTTAGAAAGACTGAACTCACCCACTGCAATATTAATTAGTGTTCATGAGTTACAGCATTCAGAAAACTGCTAAGGATTTGTGCAGTGTCTAAGGAGTCCAAAGGTGTCTTAAACACCCTTTTAGGACAAACATGAACTATGGCCACAAGAAATTCCGTTAATTCTTCTGCTGATATTTCCCAGGTAAGGCTAGTCTCTCTCACCTTCCAGAACCTCTTCATAAAGTGCGTGCACCCCTTCAGGCACAATAACTGCCAGTGCGGTTCCACAGAGAAGACCAGCACCCAACACAGTCACCAGCTTCAGTCGCTCCTGGAAAAGCAACAAAAGAAACCATTAGAGAGACTGATGGTTAAGGAAATTTTTCTATTCATGAAACCTATAGCCACAATGGCCAGTAAGCATTACAAATGATTAGCTTCGTAAGTAATGCCAGTTAAAAGACGAGAAGCTGGGCACACTGGCTTCTGAGGAGGCTGATGGAGGAAGATTGCTTGGGCCTGAAGTTAGAGACAACCTGGACAACATAAGATCATGACGTCTTTGTTTCTTTATTTGGAGGCAGGGTTTTGTGTAGGCCAGGCTGGCCTCAAACTTGATAATGTAGCTAAGGATGACCCTGAATTTCCTCCCATCTCTGTCTCCTAAGTTCTGAGAGCACAGGCACGAGATCTACACCTGGTTTTATGCAATGCTAGGGACCAAACTGAGGGCTTTGGGCATTCTACCAGCGGAACTACAGCTGGTCCATTTGTTTCTTTCTATAAATAGCTAATTCTTATTAGTTAAAAAACTTGCATACAAAGTAATGGATCTCATTATGGCATTGAACCATTGTTCTAGCCCATGGCATTTAATGTATTTTGAGCATATGTCCCTTCCCCATTTCACTCCTACTGTTTCCTTTCCTCTAACCCAACTAGTCACCCTGCTATTTTCATGTCTCTCTCTCTCTCTCTTTTTAATGATCCAATGAGTTTCATTAATGCAGGTTACAGGAGGCGAGTAAGGGTATGTTTACAGGACTGGGAGCATCTTTTTTTCTTTTTAAGATTTCTATTTATTTATTTACTTATTTATTTATTTATTTATTTTATGCATGAGTGCTCTATCTGCATATATGCCTGCATGCCAGAAGAGGGAATCAGATTCCAGCATAGTTGTGAGCCACCATGTGGTTGCTAGGAACTGACTCAGGACCTCTAGAAGAGCAGATAGTGCTCTTACCAGCAGAGCCATCTCTCCAGCCGAAGTGTGAACACCTTACCAATGGCTACATCACTGGAAAAAAAATGTCTAAGACTGTAGACATGGCTCAGCAGTTAAGGCACTGGTTGCCCTTCCAGAAGACCTAGTTACACTCCAGTACCGACATGGCAGCTCACAACTATCTGTAACTTCAGTTCTAGAGGATCTGACTCTGACTCTCTTTTGGCCTCCGTGGGCACTGCGCACACATGTGGTACACAGACATACATGCAAGCAAAACACCTATATACATAAAATACAAATAATAATTTAAAACAAAAAAGAAAATATAGTATCTCTTCCTCCCCCACAGACCACTGACTTCCTCAGGGGAGTGGTAAGGTCTCACTGACCTGGCCAGGAACTATCAGCCTAAGCAGGCTTTGAACCCACAGCAATCCTATTCAGGCTCCCAATTGCTAGGATTACAAGTATCAGCTACTACAGCCTGGGAAAGCACAACCCTTAAAGCAAAAAGAAAAGTTGGCAATGATGTAGGGAAACATTTACTACTGAGCAGGAGCAGCGAGTACATTTCCCTAACCCTGACACGGATGTGAACTGCCACAGCTTATTTGTCCACAATTGACAATTTAGGCTTAGAGTATCGAAGATGTGAGCTACAATTCTTGAGCTAGAGGGATGACTCAGTGGGTAAGAACCTTGCTGTACAAGTATTCGAACCCAAGTTCAAATCCAGCAGCCATGAAAAAAGCTGGACATAGGTATGTGCCTGCCCATAACCCAGTGCTGTGGGGAGGCAGCCACCTAACTCCAGGTTCACTCAGTGACCCAGGCTCAAAGGAATAAGGAAGAGAGTGATAAAGCAGGACACCCAGTGTCTTCTACCAGCATCCGCATGTATACATGGGTGCATATACCATCTTCACACGCATGTACATATACTAGTTACACATACAACTTTCATACGTACATACATTCCAAGGGGAATTTTTACTCACACTCCCTGCTCCTCTCTCTCATGCTCCCACCCTCCCACCTCAACCCCCTCCCCGTAAATTAAGTGAAATCTTTGATCCACAAACTTCACTTCTAGAAATTCACCAAAGAAAGAATTACAGCAAAAATGATCATGCACTTAAAAAAAGACCACTGTCTAGTCATGGGTTCAGAAAGTCATGCTGTTTTGGTATGAGGAAAGAATGGCAATGTGTACTGATAATTTGTTTGTGAGAAAATGTTTAGATGTGTCCAACTGTTCCAATAAAACACTCAGCAAGAGCAACTTAGGCAAGGGAAGGTTTATCTCAGTTCCCAGTTGAAGGTACAGTCCGTGATAGGGCAACGGAGGCAACAGGAGCTCGAAGCAGCCGGCTACATGACACCCACAACCAGGAAGTGGCGAGAGAGAGACTCCACAGGTCAGAGTCTCAGCCCCAGGAATGGTGTGCCCACGGCAGGCAGGTCTCCCCAGCTCAATTAATCTAACTGAGATAACCTCCCGTGCTCATTTCCAGAGGCCCATCTCCCAGGTGATTCTGGGTCACAGTACATAAAAATAAGCATATGGTAAATTAACAAGTTTTACTTCATAACCATATACAGAATATAATTACATACAACTTATAAATACATGAAAATAAACCTAGCTCTCAATACCAACATGGTTCTGTGGCTTCAGTTCCTTTTTCTTTGTGTGTTAACATCTGAATGTGGAGATGTGTGTGAAGAACAGAGATCAATACCAAGTGTCATCTTCTCCATCTCATTTTCTGAGACAAGGTCACTCTTGCAGAGGATTCAACCTAGGTTTACAGTACCCACATTAGGTGGATCACAGTCACCTATAAGTTGACTTCCACGTGACCCCTAACATCATCCTCTGGACTCAACTGCACACATGCATGCACAGACACAGACACAGACACACGGAGAGGGGGGGAGGGAGAGAGAGAAGAAAATGATTAGCTGTGTGGTGGTTTGAATGAGAATGTTCCCCTTAAGACGTAGTGGAGTCCTTGGTCCCGGGCTGGTGTACTCTTGTGATACTTTGAGGTGTGGCCTTGCTAGTTACACTCCAGTAACTAGGAGTGTAGTTAACTAGGAAATGGTGTGGGCTCTGGGGTTTCAAAAGCTGTGTGTCATAAGCCATGTGTCAGTCCCAGTTTGCTCCCTCAGCCTGCTGCTCCCTGATGCCATGCCTCCCTGCCATGGTGATGGAACTAAACTACTCCTTCGGTAAGCTGTCTTGGTCAAGGCTTATACCAATACTTGAGCCATAGTGTCAATTTTTATTGGGGGAGAAAAAAATTCTTAACTGTCATAGTTTAAGTTACTATTGCTCATGAAATACGATGACCAAAGCAACTTGGGGAGTTTATTTGCCTTACACCTCCATCCCACTGTTCATCATCCAAGGAAGTCAGGACAGGAACTCAAACAGGGCAGGAACCTGGAGGCAGAAGCTGATGCAGAGGCCATGGAGGGGTGCTGCTTACTGGCTTTCTTAGCCTGCTTTCTTACTGAACTCAGGGCCACCCTGTCCAGAGGGGACTCAACGCTAGCTTGTGTCAAGGTGACAGAAAACTAGCCAGCACACCACCAGAATAATTTTAGACTCAACCTAATTTATTTCAAGCCTAGCTATAATGGCTCTATGTTGTCTACATGCATGTATTCTCTCATAAAACTTTGCAACCAGGGATTCAATCTCAAATTCTGTGTTTATAAAGGTCAACAAAGTGCTGGCAGCTTCTATCCTTTGCCTGTGGTAAATCACTAATAAGGCGAATTTAAATGAGGAACTATAAACTTCAGGTATATTTCAAGATGGGAAGAGAGCTCCCTGAGCAACAGTTTCTGTCAGGGTAATAAACTATTTTCTCAAGAGAGGCATGAACTGTGCAGTGTCACTGGTTTTGTTACCTCATTTTAAAACTTCACAGTTGTAGCTGACTGAGCTGGAGAATCAGCCAGCTGTATTAATTAAAACAACAGCTTGCATTCAATGCCATTAACTATCAGTGCAAAGCTTTGAAGTCTGTTTAATTTTCTTGGCAGACAGCAAGTAGATTAAATAGTTTTTCTTTCCCCACTCATAAAAACAGTCAACCAAATACAAGTCAACACTTTTAGAAGCTTTTGTTACTGAAATTCCTGTCTCGGTCTTTGTGTCCAAGGCCACTTTAGTACTCAAAGCATCAACAATATCCTAAAAAAGAGGTAAATTTGTTAGAGCAGCACTGATTTTATCCAAGCACTGAAGAGGTATCAAGGAATATGGAATAATTTTTGCTCAAACAGCAAAGCTTTTCTCCAAACTCTTACAAAGCTGCTTCAAGGAGATATTTAACATTAATTTAGCCACTACACGATCTGCCATTAACATCTGTAACTGAGATTTGAATTTCATTCAAGTTCTTCTGTCTGAAACAAGGCAACCCCAAAGCTCCAGCTCTGAGTGGCAGCAGTGTGAACCTCCCGTGCTTCTGTGTCCTCCTCTGTATGCAAACGCTGTTGCTGTTCCTGCATGGCAACAGGATGTTAGCGCAGTCTGCAGAGACACTGTTGGTGCTTATCTTCGACATCATCTGGTGCACGAACAGCAAGCGTCTAACATTAGGGGATTGCTTAGAGACGCTTAAATGAACAGTGGCGAGGGACAGCTAGATTTCCCTCTTTATTCACTTAACATAAAGATTAATGAAGTCTTCCAGGAAGTAATAATAAGCATGCACTTTATTAACACCACTTCCTCCAATCTTAAAAGATAAGAGTAAACTGTTTTTCTTTCTAAACATAAAATAACTAAACATGGCAGTCAGTGGTGGCAAATGCTCAGAAGCAGAGGCAGCTGAGTCTCTGAGCTGGAGGCCAGCCAAGACAGCCAAGGCTGCACAGAGAAACTCTGTGCTGAGGTTTGAGAGATGGCTGAGGTTTGAGAGGTTGAAACTGGAGAGATGGCTGAGTGGTTAAGAGTGCTGTCTGCTTTTCCTAAATGGACCTGGGTTCATTTCCCGGCTACCACGTGGTAGCTCACAACTGTCTCTAACTCTAGTTCCAAGGAAGGTGACACCTTCATACTAATGCACATAGAATAAGGC